GGGAGGGGTCGGAGGCAGGAGGTCAGGCACGAGACTTGGTCTCGGGGCGCAACCTGAGGGGAAGGGAGTCGGGCCGCCAGGTTACCCCGGAGGGCTCCCCGCGCGTCGGCCCGACCCGTGCTCGCTCTGCGCAGACTTGGAGGGGAAGGTGGTGAGGACCGCAGTCGTGTTCCACAAGCCGGGCACAGCCACGCCCGTGTCGATGGAGGCCGGCCCCGAGCTCCAGGGGCCACTGGTGAGTGGATGACGTCAAGGACGGGCCCCGCAGGGCGGGCGCGACCGACACGGAGGGAGGGCGATTGCTACGAGCTGGAGAGCTTTGTGCCCGATCCCCGCACAGAAGAGGGGCCTGGGGAGCAGCAGTGCCCAGGGAGAGCCGCAGGGGCTGCGAGGCCCCTCACCCGCCGTGGCTTCCAGGTGGACAGGCGCTGCGCCCGCTGCGGTCACGAGGGGATGGCTTACCGCACCCGGCAGATGCGCTCGGCCGACGAGGGCCAGACGGTCTTCTACACCTGCACCCGCTGCAAGTGCGTATCCCCGCCTGGCCTCTGCCCTTTCTCAGGCTGTTTGCTAACTAAGCAGCTCCACAGGTTTACTTTTTGTCCTGAATAAACAATTACTTCTTTTGGTCCCATCCATTTTTTGTACAGTTCTGGTAGTAGGAAGATTTGTGGTCGTTTTATTTTTTAAAATTACACTTTTTTAAAAAATTTTTTTTTATTGATTTTTTACAGAGAGGAAGGGAGAGGTATAGACTGTTAGAAACATCGATGAGAGAGAAACATGGATCAGCTGCCTCCTGCACACCCCCTACTGGGGATGTGCCCGCAACCAAGATACATGCCCTTGACCGGAATCAAACCTGGGACCCTTCAGTCCGCAGGCCGAGGCTCTATCCAGTGAGCCAAACCGGTTAGGGCTTTTCTTATCCTTTTAATGACAATGAACTAAACCTTTTAACATATTTAAGAGGAAATGAAAAATACAGAAGGCAAGTATGCTCAGTGGTCAGCAGTGATGTTGGCGTCTCCCACTGCACCAAGGCAGTTGTGCTTTCCTGAGGTGGTGCGTGAGTTAAAGAGCAGGCTCGCTGGTGGCTTTAAGAGCTCCTCTTGTCTCTGGCGCTCCGCAGTTATACTGCAGTGTTGCAAAATGTGGCTTTTAAAAATCTTGTTTGGGATTTGTTGAACTTTTCGACATTGAGGATTGATTTTTCTCTTTTCCCCATCAACCTTGTAAAATTATCAGCCATTATCTTATTGAATATTGCTTTTCCCTATGTTCTCAATTCTCACATGCTGGAACTCTAATTAATTAGTTGTTTATTAGACTGTCTATCCTTCATTTCTCTCACCCTTGTTTTTCAGACTTTCTATCTCTTTCTCTCTATGCTGCTTCTGGGTAATTTCTTCAGGTTTCTCCTAGGTCACTAATTCTGTCTTCAGTTTATTTCAGCTATTATTTTTTATATAATTTTCTTTGTTTTATAAAATTCAGTTTTTTAGAATTTGAACTATGGGAATTCTTTGAAGCATGGGATGAATGCTGTATCCTCAGCATTTGTGTTTCCTGTTCAGGTCCCTTGAGGCACAAGCCAGAATCACTTTAACTTGGTTCCAGGTTTTCTCAACTATATAGGTAGTATGAATTGGGACTGCAAGTCCATGCAAGGGCCAGCTATGGTTAGAAAACCTCAGAGGAGATTTTCCTTCCTCTACCTAGTGACACAAATTCTCCTTCTGCAGAGTTAGATTTTGTTTACTTTTACACAGAGGGGTAGCCCCCTGGGGGTCCCAAATGTATGCCCAGTACCTCCAATCATACATTGTAGTTCTGTCTAAGATTCCTTCATATGGCTGTCAAAACAGCAAGAGGACCATGGTAGCAGGGGTTTCAGTTTTCACTTACCTGTTTAGTTTCCTGGTTTTACATCATTTACCCAATATGAATTGCGTTTACTTTCTTGCCATCTCATCAATGGATGAAAAATATTGATTGTTAGATATATCTTTTGAGAGTATTTCCCCCAGTCTTATCTATTTATTTTCTTAACTTTTTTTTAAATGAACAGAAGTTTTAAATGTTTATTAGGTCCAGTTTATCCTTTTTTTTTTTTCCTTTCATGGCTAGTGCTTTTCGCATTCCAAGAAACATCTGCATACTTCTCGGTCATAATTCTTTCGATGTATTTTCAATCCCAGCATTTTTAGTTGGCTTGAAGTTAGAGGACCATTTATGGGAGCTAGCTTTCCACAGTGTCATAAATAAAAGCCCTTCCTTGATTATTTGAGTATGTCATCTTACACTGCTAGAACCTCTTCCTTCAATCCAATATAACAAAGAAATCCTTTCTTTCTCCATAGGTTCCAGGAGAAGGAAGACTCTTGATTTTCCTTTTTTTTCTGGGCGACTCAACAATCCCTCCCCCATCCTCTTCCTTGGGAGTTGAAGGATATTGGTTCCTAGACCCTTGTCCATCCCCTGGTTGCAGTATTTGCTCCCCGAGAAGCACATCACCATGTGGGGAGTACTGTTGTCCCCAGGTTGCTCCTATTCCTAGTTGAGTTTTCCTATTAAAGCTATGTTTTTGCCGAACCGGTCAAGGGCATGTACCTTGGTTGCGGGCACATCCCCAGTAGGGGGCGTGCAGGAGGCAGCTGATCGATCTCTCTCATCGATGTTTCTAACTCTCTATCCCTCTCCCTTCTTCTCTGTAAAAAAATCAATAAAATATATATATATTTTTTTTAAAAAGCTATGTTTTTCAATAAGACCCAAATATGTGTATGTTATCTATAATCTGTTTTGTTCCAAATGGAATTTAAATGAGTTCATAGAGATATGTTTGTTTTTTTAACAAATATATCATCTATAAAAAGAGTATACATTAGTAGATGAGAAAGAAAAAGAAAAAGCCAAAAAATTGAAGCCAGCAATGAGGCTAATATAAAAAAAACAATTATAAGTATTTTCTCACTATCTAAATCTATTTGGTTCCCGAGTTTTAGGGAAACAAAAAGTGGGGTTTGGATAGTGAGAGAGTCAACAGAAAATTTGACAAGATCTATTTGCTATGTAAGTTTGCACAACAAAAAGTCTGATACTAAGGGATACCAGTGTGCACTTACTACAGGTGAACATTTTGGGAATTGCTTTTTTATTGTTCTTGAGATAAATGTAATATATATTGTAATAGGTTGATAGATAGATAGAAAAAAGTAAAGACTACAAGGAACCCTAATCCTCAGAGATACTTGTTTTCTTACTGGGTTATGCTGTACATACTGAGCTGTACCTTGCTTTTTTCAGATTGGACCATAAACTTCAAAGGGAAAAAAATACACAGTCTAGGCACAATAAACATTCAAATTGTAGTCTGAGAATCAGTATTCCTGCATTCCTTGGTTCTTTGGCTTAAATGGTGATCAAGGGGTGAGAGTAATAGTGATTATCTTGTAATTGTGTGACCTTTTGTGTATTCAGGGCTCTCAAACATACCGTTATCTTGTTTGACCCCCTCAGCAACTTTGAGGGATGGGCAGGGCAGTCTTCTGCATTGTACGTTTGAACTGTTCTGGCAGTTGACTTCCTTGCCTCCTGAAATCTGAAATCTGTTCACACTTCTACCCTACATTAAGCCTTTCCTTGACCCATACTGACTGGATAAAGTCCAAGTTTCTTAGCAAAGCATACTGGCCTCCCGTATAACTGAGCCTACCTGTCAAGCCTCGTTGGCACTCCCCTTACATCCCACCTTTGTACATCCCAACTGCATGTCCTTCAGTACACATCTATGTCTCTATAAGCTGCTCTTTGCACCTAAAAAAATCCCCACACATCCCTTTGTCTGCCTTGTGTTCCCTTTTCACCACTCTTGCTCCCTAAGCACATATTTTTATCATAGCATGAACTGTTCTCCAGAGAAAATGTTGGCTATATACAGCTAAATTCTTCACAGATGAGATTTGCATATGCATTAATATCCCAATGTCTTCTATTTTTGTTATTGCTAAGCATGCCAATCTCTCCCACTAGTCTGGGAGCTAAAAGGCAGGATCACAGTGCTTCATGCACCTCCATCTCCAAGGCCTAGTGCAATCACAGGGAAAGTGTCCCAGCCGAACGTGCATGCATGCCCTGCTTGGACACTTATCGGCAGAGGACAGGTCCTAGAACCCAGGTTCTTTTTGTTTTTCTTTTTTTGTTAATCCTCACTGAACGGTTAAAGTTGGTGGTGCACCCTAACCGGTTTGGCTCAGTGGCTAGAGCATCGGTCCCAGGTTCGATTTCAGTCAAGGGCATGTACCTTGGTTGCAGGTACATCCCCAGTAGGGGGTGTGCAGGAGGCAGCTGATCGATGTTTCTCTCTCATCGATGTTTCTAACTATCCCTCTCCTTTCCTCTCTGTAAAAAAAATCAATAAAATATATATTTAAAAAATTTTTAAAAAAAGTTGGTGGTGCATAGGCAGGCTAAATAGCAATCTCAAGTCCTCACAATAAATTCAAGAAAAATTGAATTTATTTAAAGAAAAGGGGATGGGGCTATCCAAAGGGAAGGACTACACAGCACTGGGTTGATGATGGCAGCAAAAATATACTTAGGGCAGTGAAACAAGAAAGATGCATAGAAAAGTAACAGGAGAGCCTAGGTGGGGCTGTTCTGGGTCACTGAAAAGTCAGAGAAAAGGGGGCCTTGGAGACAGGTTCAGGGGGTGAGCCTGGGACAAGCTATGCTCCCCATTGCTCCCCTGGTTGCAAGTCTCACGGTCCCTTAGAGCAGCAGCTCTCAACCTGTGGGTCGTGACCCCTTTGGGGTCGAATGACCCTTTCACAGGGGTGGCCTAAGACCATCGGAAAACACATAATTACATATTGTTTTTGTGATTAATCACTATGCTTTAATTATGTTCAATTTGTAACAATGAAAATACATCCTGCATATCAGATATTTACATGACGATTCATAACAGTAGCAACATTACAGTTATGAAGTAGCAACGAAAATAATTTTATGGTTGGGGGTCACCACAACATGAGGAACTGTATTAAAGGGTCGCGGCGTTAGGAAGGTTGAGAACCACTGCCTTAGAGGGAAGTAGGGGCAAGGGAAAGGCCCTGGCATGCTCCCGGGAGGAGAGTTCTCAATGGGGATGGGTCCTCCATCCTCCTGTACTTCTATCTTGCAGGTGGGAATCTTAGGGGAGCTCTCAGGAGAGGGTCTCAATAGAATATCCATCAGCTTTCCAGGGGAGCTTTTTCAGGGCCGTGATCTCCACTGACTGGTCAGCGCCAGGGCAGGGGGTCATCAGTCACTGCAGCTGGTCCTGAGGCAGCCACTTGTCACTTGTCTGGTTTTGCTGCTTTTCTGGGCCTGGAGCTGAAATACAACTGATGTTATCTTTAGGGAGGAAAAGGTCAGGGTCCAAACAGCATGACCAGTGAGGGAGACCAGTGTGCACTTGATACAGGCGCTAGGGAGGGAGGGTGCCCTGGGGACAAGGTTCTGTGTTCACAGTTTTGCCCCTTGCAGGCATCTGGGGCTTTGTGCTGTGGTGAGTTTCTGTACCTGGTCCATCATCCTTGTTCTGCTCATGTCTGTGAAACACACCCTATTTTTTCCATTGATTTTTAGAGAGTGGAAGGGCGCGGAAGGAGGGGGAGAGAGAGAACGGAACATCCATGTGCGAGACACATCTATTGGCTGCCTCCCGCATGCCCCGAGACTGGCGGGGACCAACCTGCTACGCAGGTCTGAGAATCGAACCACTGAGTACACTGGCCAGCGCTAGAACCCAGATTCTTACGTGTGTTTCCACTGCTCCTAGGTCCCCTTTCTGTAATTCCCATACCGAACAATAAGGAAACAGAATGGGCCATTACCTTTGCTCCTTAGTTCCCCAGCCACCCACCCAGGGATGGAGGCGGCGGGGTCGGGGCGCCTAACCGGCCCCCCTCCGGACCGCCCTCCTACCTGACCTGCGCGCGCGGCCGCCCTTGACCGCCCCGCGGCGCCCTCCGCGACTCCTCCCCCCGCGGGTCCGCGCGGCGCCTGCGCACTGCGACGCGACGGCAGAGCCGCTCCGGCCGCGCCTGCGCTGCGTGCAGTTAGTGCCGGGCGGGACCACCGACGGCGTCACACCCGGAAGCCGGGGGCCGGAAGTGGGGCTGCACAGGCTGTCCCCAGGGGTGGGGAAGCGGAGGCCCAGGAGGAGGGGAAGAGAGGTGGAGGGTCCTGGCTGCCACTCTGAGTCCGATACCGATCCTCTTAGGTCCCGGAGACGCGGAGCAAGGGAAGGGTGTCTCCCCTCCTCCCCTCAGCCCGAGCCATGGCCGAGGCGGGGCCCGGGCTGAGTGAGACCGTCACTGAGACAACGGTTACCGTGACAACCGAGCCCGTGAGGAAGGCGGGGGGCGGTGCTGTTTAGGGGTCTGGGAGGTACCGGGAGGGCGGGGATAGGGCTCTGGAGAGTTGCTGGCGGGCCTGGGCCGGGGCTTAAGGGAGGAGTGGGGTTGGGAGAATCGCCCGGACTTGGGGTATTTGTAGTGCAGGGATGGTGCAGGTGGGTCAAGTGACATGTTAGGATGTAGGGGTGCTGGGTGGCGGTGGTGTAAGGAAGAGCGGGGGCTGAGGGCTGAGGAGCGCGGGAGGTGCGGGGAAAGAAGGCCGAGTCAGAAAGCATGGTTGGAGGCCAGCTGCGGGGAGCTCGGAAGCATGCATACCCATAAGTCTTCGTCGAAGGGGCGAATGTAAAAGGAAGCAGAGAGAAGGAGGGAACAGAAGAAAAGGAAATGAAGATAATGTTTTGAAAAATCAGAGGAGATGTAAATAGAGAAAAAGGTAGCATTTTTGCAAAAACAGGTTAGGTTGTTTTCAAAGGGAGAAGGTTGTATTGGGCTTAATAACACTTGGATTAAGGGAGTTTAGAATAATGGTTACCAGAGATTCCAGGATGCTAGGGAATACGTGACTAAGAGGTAAGGAGGGCTGGGCTCTGAAAAAAGAGATCATAGATGAGGCTTTGAGACTGAGAAACTAAATACCACCAAGGATAAGTTGGGGGAGAAAATGGAGAAACAGTGAGGGTTCTGTTTTCCTTTGAGGATTTTCTGGGACCTTCTCTGGGTTAGGAATTGTGACTTCTTTGTGTGCTCGTGGTTCCCAAGAACAGGAAGTACTACTTCGTGGTCCCCCAAGGAGTCAGAGGCCTGTTCTCGTTCATCTCCCCACACTCAGCTCTCCCGGTGCTGTCTGATACTCAGGAGGCCCCTGGGAGGGAGTGGGATGGTCCACAGGAGGGAACTACATGGCTATGCCCATCTCTATCAACCTAGGAGAACCGGAGCCTGA